GCTCATGTGTAGGACTTTGCTTCGCTCCGACAAGAAAGCGCGAACGTCGGCGCGGGCGTCCATGGGCTTGGTTAGAACGTCGGGGTGATCCTGGGGTGGTTGCGACTTGCGAATAAGACCGCGAAGCACGCGAGCAAGCGTGACAGCCTCTTCCATGGCCCGGCGGGGCGAAGCGGGCGCGAGGGCTTGCAAGTGAAAGGGCAGGTTGTGCTTGATGGGGGCCGACGACTGGACAGGCTCCACCTCAAGCGCCGCACAGATGTTTGTCAAGGCGCTGGAGCCAAACGGAAGCGACTCTGGGTGGTGTGCCTGCCACCTCTGGTATTCTGTGCGGAGGTCGAAGGTGCGGGAGTGTTGGAGGTAAGGAGGAAGAACGACGGCCTTGTCGCGGGCTTCGCGAGGGAGCTGGACGCGGAGGTCCCAGGAATCTAGGGTCACGAAAGCGAATTCCAAGTTCTTCGGGCCAATATGCTCGTTGTAGAAGTTACTGAAGCGGTCGACGGCGTCGCGGAAGGAACCGGCGTTGCGGACCTGGTCCCATGTGAGGGTCGTCAAGCTGGCTGTGCAGGGTTCGACGTCAGCGGAAATTGCACAAATTGTGGACCATGAAGGTGAAGAGCAAACTTACTGCATAGGGCGGTGATCGGAGTGTTGACGGGCTTCACGAGGACCGACTCGCGATGAAGCTGTTGTAGAGTTAGCGATTGAGGTCGGCATTGGATCTGGCAGACATACCTCCTCGCACGACTTTGCATCGAGCAGGATCCAACCGAGCTCAATGACCTCGGCAGAGTCTTTGGTAACATACACGCCGTGCTCGTCGCAGGTGGTAGCTACATGGATTACAACGTAGCGGTCCAGGTTGGCCGCCTGGGGGCTGGGGGTGGGTTGAGAAGCCATATCTATGTTGCTGAAAGGGTCAAGATTAGCCTGGTATCCTTGGGTATCTCAGAGCAAGCTGGCAATTGAGGTTCTTGAGGTTCGGCGGGCGACGTCTGTCGGGGAAGGAGGTACGACGGTCGGCGGAAGGAGAAGGCGCGACGGGCGAGTACGTCAGCGGGGAGCCCAAGGTGAATGGTGAAGAGGAGTGGGGAACAGCTGGCAAGCTGTGAGGGCGTGAAGGGGAAAACGGAGCCTCGAGGTGACGGAGGATACGGTGAGATGAAACCAAATGCTACGAGATGGGGACGGACGACCTGAGGCTCCGTGCAATGATCCCGGGCAGATTTCTTGACGTGGATAGCAGAGCTAAGGCACAACTTCCAGATCTTGGCGGGAGCTCGACGTTAGTCCGCCTAGTGCCGGGCATGTCAGAGCGATGTGGGATATAGTGTGACGGTGCTGCAATTGCAATCTGTTCACGGGTTTTATGCTGGCTGAGACTTCAATTGACGTTTCTCTTACCCTTACTTGCCCCGTAGTTGTCCTGCAACGTCACGAAGCAAGGCTAATTTCGACGACGTCGCTCCAAATTTCCAGACGCAGGACGGCGTGCAGCAGGCCATGCCACGAGTACGGCGGACAGCAGCTCCCGCAGCCGCTCGGCAGAGCTGTCTGTACCCATCCGAAACACTCTCCGCCCTCTGATCCAATGTTCCACGCGTCTGCTGGAGGCGCTCGCGTGTGCTGCGCCTCGACCGTGCCACGTTGTGCCCCCATGGTGATATTGATCGATACCGCGTGTGCTCGTCCTGAACAGCTGCATTCGAGTTGTGCTTTTGCTGCTCGCCGTGCCGCTTTGGGCCACCGAGACTACTGCGTAATCAGGGTCCAACTGGCCAGCTGGCCCATCGTGACCGCGCGACATGCCCTCGTCTTATACAACGGGGCGGCGGCTGGCTGAGAGTCAGGCGCCTCTAAGTCCGCCTCTAACGCCGCGCGCATCCCACCCTCGACGACATCGCCGCGAGGTAGTCGGTCTTGTAGTAGTGCACGCCAAAGCTGTACCTAAAACATAAGTCCAGGACATGCAGAATATCGCCGTGGCCCCCTCCGCCCATCCCGCTTGGGCTCACCATCCGGGAACCCCTGGCGATCTTCCCATTCCCGCGGAGCCCTGGAGCTGGGGCCAGGCTCACGTGACGCGTAGGTCGTCGCCCGCTGCTCGTACCGCCGAACAATGAAATGGGGGCAGGAGGATGATGATCTTCGAGCCTTGCTGACACGTACAACAAGCACTAGCCCTGTCAGCGCGCCGTTGGATTCTTTGTGCGGGAAGTTCCTAACTGCTTGGGCCTGCCCCTTAAACGCGCTGCTCCCTCTGCTCTGTCCATAGACGCTCGAGCACCTTCACTGACTGACTGTTCTCCGCAATCCGCCTGCAATTTGCAGTTTATGCTCTCCAGTTTCGTCCCGGGCCCGCTCCCACGTACCGGGGACCTTGCACCTGCATTGCGGCTTTGGCAATTACCTGGGTCTGGCTGAGGCTTGTTACCAATCCAAGCATGTCTTCTCGGCAACGGGGATTCACATCTTCCCCGCAGCTTGCCAACGGACGCGAGTTAGTATTCACCTATCCACTTTTGAAACAACGGACTGCGCTGCACCACCTCAAAAGCAAATGTCCGACGCCTACATGGAATCCGTCCCCTAATACCTTTCCAGTTCATCGCGAGGCATCATGGGCTTCTTCAAGCGCTTCCGCCGCCAAAAAGCCTCCAAGAAGAGCGAGTCGCGTCCGCGCAACGACCTCTACGCCCCCGCAGTATATGACTACCACGGCCCCGACCAGACCCAACGCCTGCCCGATAAGGTCCTCCGCCGCATCTTCGAAGAAGTCTGTCCGCATTCGGCCGACGAATCCCTCGACGGCAGCGAGGATAGCGGCAATGACGGCTGCATGAGTTGTGACATGCGCGATCTGGCCCATTGTGCCCTGACCAAGCGACAATGGTACGGTGTTGCTGCCGGTCTCCTGTAAGTCCCACATGCTCAGTGCACCAGGCTGCCCCCTAACGCGGCCCAGATATAACAGCATTCGCATTGACGCCGTCCACTATTGCGAGCTCGAGGAGGTCTACGCCGACCAGCGCCGGCGCAAGTCGCGAAACGGCGATGACATCGACGCGCCCACGCTTCGGCTGCAGCAGCTGGGCCAGAGTGTGCGTGGAAACCAATACCTCGGCCAGCGCGTGCGCTTCATCAAGCTCCCTTACATGACGCGCGAGGCGTGCAAGGCTGACCTCGCGCGAACCGTATCGGGCTGCCCGAACATCGAGTTCATCGACCTTCCCGACGGCTTCTACAATGGCGATCAGTCGTGTCAATTGCTGCGTCAGGAGCTGCAGGCGCGTTGCCCACACATCCGGAAGATGAAGTACAACGAGGGCGGAGAGCAGTCGCTAGAGACGCTCCTCCAGGGCTACTGGCAGGAGCTGATCTCGGTTGAGCTCAACAAGATCCAGATAGAGCCCAGCATTCTGAGGCAGGTCTTCGGCGTGCTACCTCACCTAAAGGAGCTCACCATCACCGGCGTCTCGTGGCTCAACGACTCGACCTTCCACGACGCCCCGGGAATCCCCAACTTCCCTGCGCTAGAAACCCTGAAACTCACCAAGGTACACGGTGTCACCGCAAACGGACTCGCACAGTACCTCTACAACCCAATGTGCAGCGGCAGGCTGCGGACCCTCATATTGAAGGATTGCGGTGGCATTCCCGTACCCTCCCTCCACATCATTCTGCAGGCTGCAGTCACCCTACGGACGCTGGAATACAATGCCACAGTCTCTGCATCTCTTCCTCTGGACCCGATACCACCCATGACGTCGTACACGCTACACAAGCTCCATTTCGAGATCATCTCCAGCTCCGCCCATCAAGCCTACCCGCCAAGTGCATCGTGCTACCAGTACCTAGCCAACTCGCTCATTGCGAACTGCATGCCGGCGCTGCGACAGCTCTACGTGCGCGATCCCGAATTCCCAGAGGTCTTGACGCTCGCGCCACCGATCCGACCGTTCAGCGAGGCACCGCCGCCAATGTTCAACCAGCCTCTCGAAGTCTACTCCAAGGGTCTGGATGAGCTAGATTGGATCTTCACATCCATTATGCCGCCTGAGGCACAGGGGCGCCGAGCATCAGTATCAGTCGGTCGGCCATTGAGCAGCTACTCAGCACACAAGGGCCTCGGGCCCCAATGGGGCGGAGATGCTCGTAAAAGTATTGTGGTACCAAATGGATTTGGAGGTTTCTTGGCCGTGCCTGCAGACAACGATGGAAGACCACGGAGTGCGGGACACATGGCGCCTAGTGGAGGCTTCGGACACGGCTACTCCAACTCGCTTGGTGGCAGGGAGCCCAGTCCACGCGCCAGCTGGATGAGCCATGCAGGTCGCGAGAAGCGGGCCTCGAGGGCGGACCTCTGGCGATGAGTCGGGCGACTGCGACTTGCATCGCTCTTGTTCCTTTGCTTGCATTCTTCTTTCACTTCTCACTTCTGGATACCCGTCCATTCTTCTTTTCCTTCATAGGCGATCTTTGTAAGATACCAAGTGGAGTTCTTTTTGATCTTATAGGGGTACGGTGCGATTTTGGGACGAATCATTGACGTTGGAATATTTGGATGGCACGAACGAAGATACCTTTAACGTGGGACACGGGGTACCTTTGGCTGTCTGTGTGTAAGAGATAGCTGCAAAGGCCTCGAAAAGCGGCGGGATCTGGGATCTCGTCGCCATCTACGTATCAACACATGCGCTTGCTATCAATGCTGTGATGCTGTAACTTGAGATGGTGTTCTGATACTACGGGATCATCTGGCCAGCCTTACATGTGACCACAACTCATTACAAGGAAAAGAAATCGAACACTCACTTACAGCACCTACTGGAAATTAATACCACAGGAGTCTACGTTACGTGAAGAGATCGCTTACTCTCGGTTTGAAACCAGGTCTGACTGCAGCGTTCAGATTTTCGCTTGCACGTGGTGATCAAGTATTAAGATGAGTCTATAGGCCAGGGGGTATCATCAGAAAGATGAAGGGTGATCAAGCAGAATCAGGACTGCGCCCCACATTCTCCATACTCACATCCCTTCCAACTCTCTTCCTCCATGACCGCATCAATCGGACATTCTCCACTCTGAATTGCATTCCTCACGCTCTCCTTGACCAGACTCCTCATGTCTTTATCTGTCTCCTTAACCCACAGCTGCCTATGCCTAGCCCCACACCCCAAATTCCACGTCCCCCTCATACTCCCCCTCTCGTCTCTCTCTTCCGCGTTCTTCCCATCCTCTGTGTCTGCCCTAAATATTTCCGAATGCCCGAGACCGTGATGGAACAATTCCGGAGCTACACTCCAACACTTCCAATCTCGGTCCCTACACGCGCTCAACAGGGCAACATCGTATGCCGAACTGCCACCTTCCGGTTCCTTGGAGTAGGTAGAGAGGATCATGGCGGCAGACCGGCGGTTCATGGCGTAGGCAAACGTGCAGAACGGCCAAAAGCTTCTGTGTAGCAACCGAGCTTTAGAGGGTATAGATAGAGAGGAGAGAAAAAGAGCGGTGTCTGGGTGAAGGAGGGGAGTGGGAGGCACAGTGGGGTCGCGGTACAGAAGGGAAGGCTGGGAGAGGTAGGCCGTGGAGATCAAGTCGTCGCAGTGGCCGGGGTAGAGGAGGTCCCAGCTGTTGGTGGAAGCCCAGTATGCTGATGATGAGTCCTCAGTGACACCCTTGTCGAGCAAAGAGCGTACCGCGGATGATAGGAGAGGGATCTGAGAGTGGCGGATGAAGATGTCGAAATCAGTGTCGTCTTCGATGATGAGAACTGTCTCGTGGCTTGAGGCGAGGAACCTGTCATGTTATCAGTACATTATTCTATATCATTGACCTCTTCAAACCGACGTACCATCTCAAAACCTCCAAATGTCCCAACCAGGCTTTCGCACTGCCAGTGCTCAGACTACTACCTTCCTTGGTCTTCAGCTTTTCGACATCACCCACACCCCACTCCTTCTGCCGAGGGATCACAATCTCGATATCTGTTAGGTTGGCAGCCCATAGTAGGCCGGGTCGGCGTGGTGAGCTGGAGTGTGATACTGCAAGGATAGCACCAAAGCCGAGGGTCGAATTGGCTGGTGGGAGGGAAGGTGAAGGTTGCTGAAAGTGCAATGTGCTGGATATGTACGCGTACGGGTTATAAAAGAACAGGTAAATCAGAGTAAGAATTGATAAACCCGCCAACAGAAGCTGGGTTCTCCGAGCCATGTTGGGTAGGCAGACGAGATGTGGGAGAGGAAGAAGAGAGTATGTTAGTGGCACCTACCTAGGTGATTGGGGCATGTCTCCATAGTGAAATGCAGTACTGTGCAAACGCAGTAGAGACTCTTGTTGCTGGAGAAGTAGGTTCTGTCCCAATTAACATGATTCTCTTCATGGATGCCTTTCCTTTCAACATTTCACTCTCACTTGGCTCTGTCCGTCCTGCTATTTTCCAAGGTTGCTGCAAGATTACAATACAATGGACACTAGCGTTCCAAGTCCAGCGTGGTGTGAAGTAGGTTCCACGTTTCGTTAGATACTCAACACCGAGATTATTGGCAATGTAAAGCCGAGAGACTACACAAACAGGGCTGCTGTGGCTGATGCATGGCAAAGTGTAATAATAATGCGCGGCAGGGCGGTACTTGCGGCGGGTGTGCGGCTACATTGGCCGAAACAGCTAGGCGGGCATGGCCAAACACGCAGCTGCCCCGGCTCAGCTATTGTTAGCGCCACAACGGGCGCCCTTGCTGCATCAAGTAAGAGTCTAGCCAACCTTGTCCCCCTGAGAGGACCACCTCCATTGCGACGGTGCAAGACTGGGTCGCTTGCTTGACGTAGTGATTGGACTTAGGTACTGGAATCTCATGAATTAAACAGCCGAGTATCCGTGTGCACCTGCCGCTCCCTGTTGCTTCTTCCCACCCTCCCTGCGCCGCTCCCCCTCACTTGCTTGGTGTATGCCCTCCAGCCTCTGTCTCCTATGTCCCTTACCTGTCGTCGCACAGGCACGCAAAGTCGTGTCGCACAGCAGCCGAGCACAACATGGCCACGGAAACAATCCCCTCGTCGGCGGCGGCAGCCCCCAAGATGTCGCGCTATAGGAGCGTGAGGCGCGCGCAAGAACAGCAACACCACACTTCGCCAGGCGTGCCCGCAGTGCCCCCCATGCCCGCCGTGTCCGAGATGCAGCCTCAAAGCGATGCGCCCATCAGCCGGAGCATGAGCCGCTACCACCGCAGACCAACTACCTCGCACGCGACCAGCCCAAACCCCCCACCGCTCCGTTCGAACACCATTCCAAATGCCCCTCCTCCCCTTCCCGCGCAAGTACCGCCCTCCACGCCCTCTACATCCCGGAACCGCGCCGTGAGTTCGCCGTACCAATCGTCGCATTCCGCAAACACCGGCCAGCGTCGGCCCAGGACCGCCAGGACTCGCACGACAGAGGCCTCGCCGCCTGTCTCCAATGCGCCGCGACAGCAGTCGCTCAGAGGCGATGACAGCGCGAGAGAGGTCTTGCAGCGCGAGAAGGAGAGACAGCGACAGCTCAAAGAAAAATATGAGGCAGAGGCGCGCGCACAGAAGCAGGCTAAGCAGGCCGAGCTGGACAGAATCGAGAGGATGCGACACGAAGAGGAAGAAGCTGCGCGCTTAGACGCCCAACGAGAGATGGAAGAAGCCGAGGCCCTGCGTCGGCAAAGGGAAGAGCAAAAGGCCGAACAAGAACGTGGCAGACGATTACAGAAGGCCGAGAACCAGAAAGTCCTCCAACAAAGGGAAGAGGGCGTCCGCAAGGCGAAGCTCGAAGAGAAGGAGCGGCAGGCAACCCTCGCAAAGCTTGAGCAGAAGGGCCGAAAAGCTCCCTCTTCGTCGCCTCCAGTATCGCCACCGCGGCAGCAGGAGACAGGTTTCGGAATGTTCAAGAGGAGAAAGGATGAGGCATTGGGTCTAGATGCCCCTGTGCAACAACCAGCTGCGCCGCAACTAAGTCTCAATCTCGGAGAGGACGAAACTATCAGACCCGGCGGAGGTGGCGTTGTTCTAGGCATCGATGCGCCTACATCCGCCGTAAATGCTGGTGATAGAGTATGTACATCATTCATCAAACACGAACATGCGACTAACAGCCGTGATAGCGCGTTAAAGTCGTGTGCAACGAGAAGCGCATCCTGCTCCCTGTGACTCCAACCACGACTCCTCTCGATCTTATCAAGTCTGCTGCCACGGTGCTCACAGATCCCATTGACGTTCGCACAGCTGTTATTTCCGAGCTCTTCACCAAGGTTAGCATCACACGCCCCCTTCGCAACTACGAGTACGTGCGAGATGTGATGAATTCCTGGGATTACGACAATCAAAACGAACTTACCATCATTGACTCTGATGTCGACGGTATCGACCAAGACAGTCTACTCTCGTACAAAGTCCCAGACACCAGACCAGAGGGCGCTTCGTGCTTTATCCAATACTCATCGAGACCTGGCAAATGGAGTAAACGACTTCTCATCCTTCGTCCAGACGGACAACTAGTCATGGCCAAGAACGAAAAGACCAAGGAAAAGGACCAGGAAAACATCTGCACTCTCACAGACTACGACATCTACTCGGTGACTCAGTCCAAGCTGGCACGGGTGAAACCCCCAAAGAAGATTTGCTACGCTGTCAAGAGTATGCAAAAGTCCAACATCTTTGCGGACGAATCGCAGTATGTTCACTTCTTCTGTACCAACGACCGAAACATCGCGAACACGTTCTATACAGCGTTACAGACTTGGCGGAGCTGGTATCTCAAACACCAAAAGGGCGAGGGTTTGAAGAAGAAGACTCATGCGACACGCAATGTGTCTGGGGCTGCTGAAGCCGCACAGACGTCGTCGCATTCAAGAGGAGAATCAGTTGGGTCGCATTACCAGCTCGGTGCTTTCTCGTCCTTGCTCGATATGGACAGTTTCAACAAGACTCTGGACCAGATTGAAGTTCACAAACCGGGAGAGTTCCCAGACGACAAACCTCTTTCCAAGCTTGATAGCAGGGCAATGCACTCGCGGATGAAGTCGATACGTGTGAAGCAACCACCCCCAGCCGCTTTCAGCAAGAGTGGTCTGGTTGCAGAAAGCACTTCACCGCCGAGTGCCCGCAGTCGAAGTGTTGATCAGCAAGGCGACGAGGCGTTTGCATCGAGCGGCCTTCTGGGACGTAGCTACACGCAACGTCAAGCCGCTCTACAAGCTCGTGAGCCGTCAGGCCCGTTCACAGAAGGGCCATCTCTGCTGAACAACATGGGCCGTGTAGCCCAAGTATCGTCCAACGATTCTGGTCTGAAACGTAATACCTCAGTCCGCAACAATCATCACCGGCGAGCATCCAGCGATCTTCAACGTAGTGCTTCGAAGCGTGTACCTGGCATGCCCGAGCCTTTGGTCGATCTAACACCCCAGTACCGCCCGCCACCGCAGCATCTCAACAAGGGCAAAGGCTACAATCCAGGAGCTGGCGCCGGGCCGTTGGTCGAAAGTGCAACGTCAATCGAGGAGGCTATCAAGATTCCCTCATCAACAGACTGGCGCGCCGGTCGTCCAGGTACATCGCGAGCCGCTGGTGGCCACGAACGTACGCGCTCGCTCAAGGGTCGCGGCGAGCCATTAGCCGCGTATACTCAAAATAACCATCTCGGTGCTCCAGAGGATGACAGTAAGGCGTTTACCGGAGGCGGTTTGCTATCGCAAGCCGGCTACTCGCAGGGGAAGGACATGGTGGGTAGGGGCGTTATGGATGGTAGTAAAGCCAAGGGCCCCATGGTCAACCTCTCGTCGAACAACGAATTCGCACAAGGCAGTTTGCTGAGTGCGCTACCAAACGCTGCTCCGGTCATCGATCGGAGTGGTAAGTAGGGTCGTTTGCTCGACGGGTACCTTTTGCTTGGAGTTCTTTGGGGTTCGTCGTTTTCGTTTGTTGGCTTTGCGCGTTTAGCTCGATATCCATTGCTTTGGCTGCACTTTCCTATGTCGCATGTTACGGCCTGGGTGGTATCTGGTATAATAGATTTATAGAGGCCGTGAGAGAGGAGTAGTCCAATGCTTGTTCTGGACTCTACGACACAAAAGCAAATGCAAAAGATTTCTAGAAGAAGCTTCTTCTGCTCTCCAGCCATCGCGTAGGGTCGTTCGCTGTTCAAGGCTGCGGACATGTTGTATTCGAGACTCTCACTAGTCGAGTGCCATTGTCTAGACCTTGGTGTATCAGGCACTGACTGCATACGAGTCATGTGCCTGCCTAGCAACCCCAACACGATACTGGTAACGGCGATACAGTGCTGCTAGACAATATCGTCCGAGGTGCAATACGACACGGCTCGCAAGGAAAACCTTTTCTTCCGATGAACTCTCCGCAGCGCATCGCACACATGTCACACGGCGCGGCAGTGGCTGTCGTGGGCCCTTCACGTGCTCCTCTCCGCCTCCACCCACGACCCACTAATGGCGCTGTGGAGAGAGTTGGCGTGCTGTCGACTTCTCCCACCGTTCGCGGGAACCCCGCAATTGTCGGCCTTACTGCACTCCGTATGACGGAATACTGCAGCAAGCGGACCTGGTGCAGCGCCTCGGCAGTCGAACGCAGCGCGCAGCTCTTGCATCCAGCTGACCCTTTTGATGTTCTTGATGCGTCTGAAAGCGGACGGGCATAGACAAGCAGACAGGAATAAGCGAGCAGCTCAACGGGCGGCGGGATCGGTCGATGCTCCGCTTCTCATTTCCAAAGGAAACTGTTGAGTTGTTGACTCGCGGCCTTGGCCTCGCCCGTTGCGCTTCAGCCTCAGAATTGGGCGCTGCCCGTGGGGTCGACTCTGGCTTCAAGTGCAGCGCGGCGAGTGTGAACAGCATCGGAGAGACGTGGTGCAGCTGAGACGGGGCGCGTCAAGGCGGCCAGGCTAAATGGCAGTTTAAACGTGAATGGGCAGTAGAAGCCGAGCGCCTACGTCACGGCAGAGTACGCCGGCGGTCCTACGACGATTGATCCGATACCCAAAGAGGAATCCCAACCTCCACCGGGTAGCCAACGCTCGTGCGCCAAACAATAGCGGCCCAGCATTTCTGTCCCCAGGGCGCCTGCAAAACATCTTTCCTCGACTATTAGACAGAGTTTGCTTGCTGCTGCTCTGCTACCACACGTCCAATTGCTCCTGCAGCTCCACCACACCGTGTCCGCCGCCAGCACTTCGTACT